CATCAGGTACAACCTTGTCGAAACGTTGTACATTTGCTGTTATGTTAAACTTATATTAAAGTTTTTCTTCATTACTCATTCAAGCCGCCTCCAGCCATTATTAGTCTCAAAGTGGGTTCCTCGTCATCGAATTTGTACCCAAGATGAAAGAAATCTTGCTTATTCAAAAGCTGAAATTAGTAGTAAATAATAGTATTTTTGTTATTAATCAACCTGGTGACCTAAGTTTTCGTTTTTTCTCCACAAACAAATTTAAATAAAACTGCAGGTATTAAAATATTGTGTCTAGTTAACATTCAATTGTATATTTTTTAGGCAAGTTTCTCCAAAATCAGTTTTTTTTTTTTAAACAGTGGTGAATAATAGACTACTTCTAAATGCTTTTCTTGCTGGACAGAAAGCTGTCATTGATTACCTGGAATACTTTTTTCAAGATAAGTGTTAAGCCTGTCCACAAGTTCTTGTCGTTCTGTTACTTCCCTGTTAGATAATCCACTACTCTCAGCAACATGCACAAGAAGTTTTGTAAGAGCTTCACAATGAGCAGATGATGGTGGAGGGAGGTCTTGAAGCAAAGCATGAACTGCTTGCAGCTATAAAAAAAGTTGTGGTTAAACTATAAGGATGTTCAAATCTAAGCTCACTGCTTGCTGAAAATCTAAACCTAAGATAAAAGGTCAGCAATTTATAATATATATATATGTAGAGAGAGAGAGAGAGAGAGGAAAAAAATAATCATCCCTAAAAGCAGCATAGAATTAATCATAATTTAGCAGAATTATATGTTAACACTAATGTATTTACAAAAAAAAAAACAATAAGAAACTATATGAATCATCAAAACTGTAAAGTACAAATGACTGACAAGCAAAATTTGATTACTTCTTTAGGTTCTACTAGGTTGAGTATGATATTTTTATGATTGGTAAAATTAAACATATTTTTTAACTGATAACAGGTAACAGAATTCTCAATAAGTTGATGCATGATCAACATTGTGTTAAAGTCAATCGAAACCTAAAGTCACATGATTGTTAACAACATTAGAGGAAACTCAACAAGAAAAGGCTTTTAGGATTTCAGGAGTAAATTTACCTGATTTGGAATTGTACATACAGTATAAGCAAAAACCATTACTGCAAAAGATTTAGGGTAAAACATGCAGGTACCTTGCATAGTCCCTTGCAGGCAGGATGAGAATACATCAATAAAATGATATTTCCTCTCACCAACTTGATAATCACCGATGCAGTTGCACTTAACAGTGGAATTGTTGGAAAATCAGAAAAGTGCATGCATATTGGTTTGAAGTACTTTTCTTCAAGTTCAAGGTACCTTTCATTCACCAAACATAAACCCCTTATGCTGAGTGAGATTTTGTTTTCATGGAGTTAATTAGCAGAAGGTTACAAATAGACTATTATTATGTAAGATCTGATGGCATAGTAATGTCAAGAATTATTGTCTTTAAAGGCCCTAAAGCCACTCATACCAAACTAATTCAGTCTGATTCTGCACAAACTATAGTTTAATACTCCGCTTGTTTATAAAGAAATGTTGAGAAGACGAAAGACAAAGTATAGTTATTTTTGATATTACATAAATCTTAGACCTTTAAAACTATTAAACTTATAGAGACTTATTGTTTGAGACCATGATGTAAATGTATTTATATCTGAAAATATTACGTATATCAATATTCATAGCACAGCATTAAGTTTTTTTTATTTTACTGCTAGTTGCAGCCATTTTATCAGAGCTTTCTCTGAGCAAGTAAAGTGAACAAGACTCCAGGAAAAGGTCAGAAAATTTACAATAAAAACTAAATTTAATATTGTAAATGTTGATGTAATCAAAGCTTCAAACAGCTGCTTTCACATTCTTTATAATCAAGCAATTTTTGTATTTCACTGGTTCTTTTTAAAAATGTATTATATTTAATTACACTTAAACAGTGATTTCTACATGTTTTCTTCAAGTGAAAATACTTAATGTTACACACCAAAGGTTTTTTTTCTACACCTTCATTGCTAAATTTTCCAACACGAAGATTATGGACATTTGATTATTTTTAGTAACAACATTGTATGTGATACATGGGCTATACTAATTTTTAACAAATGTCTAGAAGGAGTGCAACATACACTATGACTCTCACTTTTATAACACACCCACAGTGCAAGAGAATTGAGCAGCATATCACAGCATGAAGCTTAGGCTTTATTTTCTGCAGTATTGCACACTAACTACCAGGCCACAAATTGTCTGAAATGTAAAGACAATTGTGTTCACACAACCGTTTACAAATCTACATATATATGCATGGAAACACTAGTAGCAGGAAACAAAATACTGAAAATACCTGATATAATGAAATCAGGTATTATAATTATTACAGAATAATGTACTGAAACAGCATTTACTTAACTCTTTCAGCACAGGATCAGTCCCTGGGACTGACCTCATAACCATTTCGTGCTTGTTGTAATTTTCGTGCTATAACCTTTAAATTACTAAGCGAATGTTAACAAAATTTAGCAGATTATGAGTAAACAATACAATGCTTTCATATACAAAATATCAATTTTTTTTTGCTTAAGTCTTAAGGTTTATAAAGCAGTGTTTTACTCATGCCTTTTTTTTCTTTCCATATTGCCTATCTGTCATGCAATGTAATTTTCATTTTAAGATTAAAAATACTTTCATGCATAAGAAAAATTTCAAATTTCACAAGCAAAATCTTTATAATATCCAGATACTTATCAAATGTTTCTCAAGAAAAAACTTTATATTTTATCTGTTATTTTCAATAATTAATCTCTGTACAAGTTCGGCAGATCTGACTGATCTTGCAACCAACATAAAAAATTAGGAAATAAATATAAATTATGCCTCTTTCATTCTAGAGTGAACACAAATTATAACATGAAA